ATGATTAACTTAGTACGAAAAAAAGTTTTCTTTAGACAATCACTAGAAAATTTCTACTTTCGCACCTATAGTAATTTATATAGAACTGCATCACGTTTCACTATAATCATTCTTCAGTTGACTGGAGAATCGTTAATTAAAAAATAAAACAATTTTAATAATAAAAAGTAGTAATTAAGTTTAACTTTAATAAAAAAATATTCTCATTAAACACTATGTGATCATCGTTGCTGAGATGTCAAGGTGGATGTATCTAGAATGAGTGAATTTAAAGAAAGAAAATAGAACAAAAACTCTATATACCGAAAGTCTCTATAACATTATAGTGCTATAATACTATAAAATAAATCTTTTTTACAAAATAGATAAATATGTATAAAGTAGATAAATATGTTATTGGGTTCTAATTTTATACCTTCAAATTAAATTATCGCTATTTTCAAAATAGTTGAAAATGTAAAATAAATTTTTTTTTTTTTTTTCACTTAGGCCATTTTGCCAAAATTCTTTATTACTGGGCATCGATTGATTAGAACGACACCAAACAAATTGTTATACTATATAATTTTAGACATGACATCCTGCAGTTACTTCAAAGAGCACTTACAAGCGACAGGCTGCACTGAACAGACACGTCCCTTTGAACACATTGTGATGCATTTCAACTAGAAATTATATCTATCTCAAAAGGCACTATCAGACCACCGCCCTACAATAGGATATCACCAAACTGATGACACCTTCTCATAGGGAAGTGGAAAAAAGAAAAAAGCACTAATACTAATACTAATATTAAAGAAGAAAGTAAAATAACAAGAACTAATACTAAAAAAAAAAACAAATACGAAGACGAAAGGGTAAAAAAAGAAAAAAAAGGAATCTGATAGGTCTCAATTATAAGCCTGTGTCAGGCTTTAAAAAATTACATATTAATAGAATAAAGAAGCTCTGTATCTAACTCTACTCTAATAATATATATATCTATATCGAAAAACCTATATAAGAAAAAAAACATCCTAAACTAAACTAGAAAAACTAGACAGAGTAGTTAAAGAAAAGAAACTATAGTCTCGAAGTATTGTTTGCGGTCCACGGAAGTCGAGGCACGTAACCATCGTGTGTCCCAGATGCACTGTTTCCATACGTAGTCTCCTACTCATTCTACTCCAATACACCTGATCGCAGTCTACTGGTTTATTGATAACCGGGTTGCTCCGAGCTACCTTAAATAAACAATATGTCATAAATATTCGCTTTGGGAAATAAACAATACTGACTGTTTTGGTGATTTTACATGTCAATCTTTTAGAGAGGATAAGCTAAGATGCCCACTTTTTAACAATTTTTCTCGAAAAAAGTGGTGGGTCAACAAAACTTTTTGTGGTTGTTCCTTGTAAGTTTTACAGTTGTATAAAGACTATCTCTAGTTTTTTTAATATACTTAGTGTCGACTTAGTCATTCTGTGTTCCCAAAATATCCTTCTAGTTTGGATGCCAAATATAATAGAGGAGTTCACTAACAAGAAAGCTTGACCTCTACAAAAACTATCCAAAGTAGTCCACTCCTCGGTTTTACACTCTTGGTACTTTGTCAACAACACATTTACTTACATAGAACCAAGTATATTATTACCCTTTGATGTCTTCTATAACGCTGTCTGTAGTTCAGATTTTTGGACTTGTTGACCAGAAGATCATCAAAAAGAGTTGCATTCTATGGTTCTGAATATATCATAGTATTATTAAAAGTATAAAGACTAGTACTGAAATAGGATTAAATGTTGTAATCGAATTATTGAAAAAAACAGATAAATATATAGTAGAAGAAAGTTTTGATTGTGCTTGGAGTCATGTTTATGAAGCTTCACAAGCAAGTGAAGAGCTTATATTTAATGAATATTTAGAAGATAATTAAATTATATACTGTATATAGCTTTTAAATATATATATCTGTAATTTACTAATATTTACAGCAAACTTATTTTGCTGTAAAAATGATTATTATAAAGTTACAGATAATAAAATTTGTAAATCAAATAATAAATATATAAACTTACATATTTTAGATTTTATGTATTATTCTATTATTATTTTTTTTATTTTATTTTATTGGCAGCCTTACTGGTATCTTTATTAAATCAAAGCTAATATGCAGTTACATTATAAACTATTTAAGTTATAGATCAGAAATCACTCAGCTTCCTCTCTGGGCGCCTAAGTGCGATCTGCCTTACCGATTAAGGCTATTGTCTATACTGAAGGGCTGCACCAAGCTAGCTAGTAAAACCATAGCAAGATAGTTTCGATTTAAAGAGATTTTTAACAAAACTAAATTGGCAATTTTTTCCTTCTAACCTATCCTCTATTTTATCATAAACTAAAACTAATTTTCTATTAATAAATGATTCTATTTCCTTTCTTAATAAGGAGTTATTGTTAAAAATCTCTCATTTATATTTGCATTTCCTTTTCCTCTTCTTTTAATTAAACCTGTCCTTTTCAATTAGAGACCCAATTCTTAGAACTTTATATTTCACAGCTTTGTGGTCTTCTTCTATTTCTTAAGAGCTTTTTCTGTGATCTTTCTCTGCAGATACTCTTTTGTAAGCTTTCTTTTCTTCAAAAAATCTTGGGCCTTCTTTTGGTCTTTCTATTCTATAATCTTGAATAGTTTACCTGAATTTATTTTTTTCTATGTTCTGGGAATAGAGGTTTTCTCTTTTCTTTTCTTTACCTTCTTCTTTTTCTTTTTCTTCCTAGGCTTTGGTTTTCTTTCCAAAAACTTTCTTTGAATTTCAACAAAGATTCTCCAATTCTCAAGAATTTCTACAAAGATTTTCTCTAATATTTCAAATAATATATCTTTTTTTTTCTTTTTCCAATTTTTGGTACCTTTCCATCTATAAGTTATTATATCTTGAAATAAATTCAAATCTATGCTTCTTTGGTCTTTTAGACATCTTAGATTTCATTAGGATTTTACATCATTTATCTATTTTGCAAGCAACTCTTTCTTCTTCTTTTTCCATGTTCTGTTATTAGGTTGCGAGTTTTTGATACTAACTTGGTATATAGCTTCTATCAACCATTCTGCTGGAGTTGCTAGTACAATTTTTGGTTTTGTTTCTTTTTGAATTTTGTTTACGTTTTTGTTTCTGTAAGATTTAAAATGTCTTGTCTTTTGCTTCTCTTTTCTTTTTTTCTCTGATTTTTCTTTTTTCTTTTTCTTGTCTAAATATACATTATCTTATTATTGCTTTTCATACAGTTGAAAAACTTCAAATATATAAAACTAAAAATGAAAATAAAATAATAATTAATAAAGGCAATTATAATAGCAGTTTTTAGCAAATGGAGTATACAATCTTAATTGAAATCATCGAAAAAATTACACCTTTTCTTATAAATAATGAAATAGTATTAGATATTAGCGTTGATAGTTATCTAAATAGTAATAGAACATTTGAAGAGAAAAAAATCGTTCATAAAATCTTTGCAGATTTAAAATATAAAACAAAGCTCATTAGAAATAATATAGATAAATAATTACTTATACTGTTAAACTTATATTTAATATAATTTTTGAATTTTAAATATATTAACTTTATAGTTGTTAATTATAAATAGAAAATATTTGAGCAATAAATTATGAAATATTATACAAAATACATTTATGTAGCTATTGCTAGATGTCAAAGCCCTGCTATTGATAATCCTACTAATGATGATTTTTTTTTAATATAAACTGAAGGAGTAATTGCACATCTTTCTGATAACCACACAAATTGTTGGCCGGAAGTGTGCTGGATTAGTACAAATTCAGATATAGAACTAGAGATGCCTAATTTAAAATTATATAACAAAAGTTAAAAAGAGCAATTATTAAATTTTCTTCGTAAAATTATAGAACTTAAAGGAAAACAAAGTCTTATTACCCCTATTTGAACTAGCATCAATAAAGCTTTTAATTATATAAAATTAAACTATACTGACAAAAAAACAGATTATCCTAAATCTTTTATTACTTGTTACGCTTTAGCTATAATTTACAACAATGATAGACTGATAGAAACACTTTGTATTAGTTAAGAGGCTGCTAATCTTTCAGAATTCTCTCAAAATGATCACACTAATATATTAAAAATTTGAAAAGAAAGAGAAACAAAACATCAATACAATTTGGCTACAATTGAAGAAAGAAATCAACAACATGCAAAAAAAATAATAGATTAAAAAACTAACTTAATAGCATTCAATTTCAATCAGATTAGTAAATAAAATATAATACTTTAAATATTAAAAATTAAAAAATTGCAGCTATTCTTTAGGACTTGGTTCCATATAGTCATTGTATACAAGATAGTATTCAAAATCATACTTATATTTCTTCATTTGCAAATATACTTAAAGCTTTATTAATACTCTTTTATATGATAGATACTATTGTTTTAAATGTCACTTTGCAACTGGACTTTGCCTTCTTTATAGCTTTTACTTTAATCATAATCTGAATAATCTTATTCCAAATGCTAATTTTAACTTTTATACATCATTAAATAATATAACAAATAAATCTCTTATTGATACTGCACTGAATAAGATATTTAAATTACAAAATTACTGTGAAATCCAAAAAGAAAGTATTCAATTCTATATTTTTGGTCAAGATACTTTAGCTATTTTAAAAACTAGTAGTGAAAAAACTCTAATATATTCAATAGCTAGTATCTTATCATCACAACTAACAGTAGTATTTACACCTATGAAATCTTTAATGGATGATCAAATGGTAAATATTTAGTAAAACTATAAAGAAAAATATATATATATACATATATACTATATATATTCATATTTTTAAATTTAGCGTGATCTAATTAAGCAAGGTATACTAGCAGCTGTACTTTTTGATACTTCAGATCAACTTTCTGCAATTATAAAAAAAGTATTTGCAGAGATTGCTTCAGATATTATTCATATACTGTTTGTAATAGCAGAAAAATATGTCAAAAATTTTTCATTTCAAAAAATGTCAAAAAAAATTGAAAAAGTCAGAGCTTACAATTTGTAATAGACGAGGCCCAATGCATTTTGAATTTTAGATATTTTAGATAAGTTATATAGATAAAAAATGTTACAATATTACAACTATGAAATTATTTACTTATTTGCTTTGACAAAGATGATTGGAGTAAATTGAATTCTTTGACAAGTGAATTTCCTTTAGCACTATTGCTGTTGCTAACTGCAACATGTTGTCAGCAAAATGCTAAAGATCTAGGAATTATTTTGCATCAAACTTCATTAAATATTATTTGTGGAACTAGTATTCATCGACTAGAAATTGAAATAAAAATTCAATCCAAGCCCAAAAGAAATGAACTATTTAAAGAAAAAAGTTTTGAAATTTTAAATATAATATTTTAGGAATGTGCTATTATATATTGTGCTACACCTTCAGATTGTGATCAAATAGAAAAGATATTGCTAGAATGATTTAATTAATCTGAAATTAGAAAATATTATGAAAAAATAATAATAATTCAAAAATCACAATCTATTCAATATTGAAAAGAAAAAAAATTTAAATATATAGTGGCAACAAATGCATTTGGAATGGGTATTAATGTTGATGATTTTAGATTAGTTTTACACATCACATTTCCTATATCATTAGATAATTTTATTCAAGAAATTGAAAGAGCAGAACGGGATTATATGCTAGCAAAACAAGTAATACTTTATATATGTTTAGACATCCAAACTCTATTAATCATATTACATAATGCAATTGAAAGATAATATAATTTGTTAGTATCATAAAGCACTATATTCAGTATTCAGATCTCTAAAATAAGACAAGGTACATTTAATACCATTTCTTAAAATTTCTGGTCTATACTGTTTTCGAAATTATATGATAAAAGATTGTTCATCAAATTTTTTTTAACTTCAACTATTAGTACTTCTCCAATTATACTATCTTTTTATAATATTTGAATACTAAATATAATGCTATATAGTAACTATTAAATATAAAATTTAAACTTCATATATCTAGTACAAAGAATACTCTATACTTTATAAATAATAAAACAGATCCTTTGAAGAAAACAAGAATTTTAACTCGGCAATTATTTTTTTTGGTGTTCAGGTGGGATCTTGCCCATGATTTTATTTATTGTTAATACTTTATTACATGTATTACTACATTTTCGTATTTACATATATCAAGTACACCAAGCTCAGACCCGAATCCTATTGGTTACCTATGCTCTGGCTGAAACCATCACTTGTGCAATAGGTGTCCCTATCCGCTATCTAGCCACTGATCCATTATCTGCAATTTAAACCTACCAGAGCGATATATCCTTATAGATAGCACTTACCCGGTATTTTTTTACTCTTCACTAGTCTTATTTTGGTACACTTCTCTATGATGTTATTCTCCGCATCTCTCATACCACTTATATCTAAGCTTCTAAATTTGGTAGTTCCTTCTGGGATATGGTCTTGTAGCCTCAAGGGCTACTTCTAATCTTGGTTATCTTCAGCTAGTCTACCCAGATAGTATCACAAAGAGGAACTCATGCTGGCCCAGATTAAGTCTCGTTATTAATGCCTAGTTTAG